TCCATTTTTATTTTTCGGTGGTACCTCACATCACGAAAATATACAAATTTTCTCTCAGGCTTAACAGGTAGCTTTGGAGTCACAACAACCGCAGAATGTTCAGAGCGTACCAAACATCTAAAAACTATAGGAGCCTTCCATAAATGAGGGATATTTGTCAAGAAAACATCCAGTATCCGAGCACCGCTAGTAGGTTTCCTCACGATTTGATCAAAGTTGTGCTGAATGTAAAAGTCGTGCATGCGCAGTTGATTTACATCACCAGCAATAATTATTTTGGCATTAGGTTGCAATAACAGAATCTTCTCACAGTATTCAGATAAAAAATTAAGCAAATCAGATTCGTTGTAAATTGGCTCAGGTGGATGATACACTACAGAGACGCAGTATGAACTATTCATAGTGAGAATTTCGCACCAGATACATTCGAAATTATTATCGAGGTCGACATTGATAATTTTCCAGTCATTTCTACACAAGATGGCAACTCCTCCTACTCTTGTAAATGGAGAACATTTTACTTTTGATTGAATTGATGTTTTCAAGTCCAGTTTGTAACGAAAAACTGGAACGCCTATTTTCTCAACTTAGGAGACTTCAGATGTTCTTTAAGTGAGTATGATTTGACAAACATTCCCAGAATCGTCCAAGAAGCACCTCCACTGGGATCATTTGAGGTGAGTGCAGTCAGGGGCGTAGGAAGCAACAAAAGATTGGGGGCGGGGGCACCGGCTTCCAGGGGCACTTTTGGATATCGAAAAGACCACCTAAAACATTTTCGCGGAAATGTTGGCGACGGGAAAGGAGGGGAAAGAAACATTTTCCCGTCATACTATACCGAAATTGCACGTTTTTGACCAATTCTTTTTCAAAACATCGAAATTTCCAAATAAGAAGGGCACCTTTCTTTGATGTTAATTTAGTATTTGCAGCGACATTAGCTTGTACAAAAAGGACACTTTTCAGCACAAAAAAGAGCACTTTTGGTCCTTTGAAAAAATGGGGAGGGGGCACGTGCCCCCTCGGTTCCTACGCCCCTGAGTGCAGTTGTTCATCTGTGGCAAAGTCAAAAGGTGTTAAAGAAGACCAAATCAAAAGAGGAGAGCACAATATAAACCAAGAAAAAGAGAGTGAAATCTATCATAAAGCTATTCAATCTGAAGGTGAACCAGAAGAAGACGTGAATAGGGGCGTGGTGGGGCTAGATTCTGATAAGATATCTGGGGAAGATGCGAGCGTTGACTCTGATGGATCTGGTGCATCACAACATGTCATGGCAGTGACACTGACAATACTATTCATGGACTTTTTGATAGTGACAACAATGCTTCCAAATCTTTCGAAGGTTTTCTACGAGATGATCTTAAATAAAGACAAGGTCACTGGTCATTCCACGACTTAAACTCAATAACTAGGTTACCTGGATTAGTTGGACAAATAGTATTGTTACTATTTGATTATTTGAAATTATTCATTTTTATACAGATGGACATGATTTCATGACCTCATTGACTAACGTGACTACTTGAGTTAAATTAATTGTTTCTAAACTTTCTGTGTTAATCACGTTCAGTTTCCCAGTATTAGAGTCTAATTTCATCAACTGGCAGCTCTGGCTGCATGCCTACATATCACTGAGACTGCCTACATATCACTGACTCTAAATGAGACAGCTACTAGTACCAAACATTTTGTCAACATTATCAATGAAATCTTTCTTTCTCCTATGAATAACTTCTCCCCTTTCGCCAGTGACTTTTTCGCTTGTACCGATTTCGGCAGCGATGAACCTGGTTTTACGGTTACGGAGCAGGAGGTCTTTATGAAATTGTAAAAAATGAATCCAGCCAAGGCCAGTGGTCCAGATGGGATACCCAGATGGGTTCTAAAGGAAAATGCTGATCTGCTGGCCGATCCTGTAAAAGAGATTTTGAATCTTTCGTATAGAAATGGCTGTCTTCCGCAGTCGTGGAAAGAAGCGGATATTGTCCCTCTTCCAAAGCAGAAACCCGTAAGACGTGAATAAGCACCTACGCCCCATTTCATTAACATCTGTTGTATCAAAGGTGGCGGAGGATTTCGTTGTCGAAAATTTTGTTAAACCTGCTGTCCTTAGTAAGATTGACATAAATCAATTTGGAACGATTCCCAAATCATCAACGACTCATGCGCTAATAAGTATGATACATAAGCGGAAAAAAACAAACGGACGGAAACGGTTCTATGGTGCGGGTTGCCCTTTTTGATTTCAAAAAAGCGTTTGACTTTATCGATCATGGTATTCTCGTAGACAAGCTTACTACCTTTGAAATACCAAAGCGAATAATTGGGTGGATCGTTAATTTTCTCAAAGACCGTAAACAGTGCGTCAAGTTAAGCCAAGATTGTCACTCCGAATGGGGTTTGGTTCCGGCAGACGTCCCTCAAGGGACTAAATTGGGTCCTTGGCTTTTTGCTATAATGATAAATGACCTAAAAGTAGCGGATATAGATTTATGGAAGTATGTGGACGATACTACAATCTCCGAGATTGTCCTTAAACATGAAACCAGCAGCATCCAATCTCAGGTAGACGAGTTTATAAGGAAATCAACTGCAAATAAATTTCAGTTAAACGAAGAGAAATGCAAAGAGCTTCAAATTACCTTTGCAAGACCCGGGCGTACGTTTACACCCGTGTATGTTAATAATAAACCAATCGAAGTTGTCCCTTCTGCAAAGATATTGGGCATGCGAATTACGAACGACCTTAAATGGAATACCCACATCTCAGAGATTGTAAAGAAAGTTTCAACAAGACTCTTCTTTCTTTGTCAACTAAAAAGAACAAAAATCTGTAGAAAGGATTTACTAACATTTTACCTGACCTGTGTGCGTCCTGTGATGGAATATGCTTGTCCCGTTTTCCACGACTCCTTACCCAATTACCTATGCGAAGATCTGGAGAAGTTACAGAAGCGAGCCCTTCATATAATCTTCCCAACGTTACCTTATGCAGAAGCTTTGGTAGAAGCGGGAGTTGACTCATTATTTAATAGAAGACAAATCCTAACTACTAAACTATTTAATGATATTGCAAATGACGAAAGTCATAAGCTTTACCAATTACTACCAAGTAAGAACTTTTCAAATTATAATATAAGGAAAGAGAACATTTTTAACGTTTCTATTAGTAGGACGAATAGATTTAAAAATAGTTTTATACAGCATAATTCTACAATGTATTTTAGATAAAGTAAATATTTATATAAGGAAAGAGAACATTTTCAACGTTTCTATTAGTAGGACGAATAAATTTAAAAATAGTTTTATACAACATAATTCTACAATGTATTTTAGATAAAGTAAATATTTATTGTAAAGTTAGAAGCGTAATTCAACCCGTGGATTGTAATGTTTTTAATTAATTAATTAAACTATCTATCTATCTATCTATCTATCTATCTATCTATCTATCTATCTATCTATCTATCTATCTATCTATCTATCTATCTATCTATCTATCTATCTATCTATCTATCTATCTATCTATCTATCTTTTGCATGTCCTATTAGTCACTATCATTTTAGTAATTAGTATGGAACGGAATACACCGATGCTTGTGTTGGTGACAGGTACATTTTATTGATGTTGGCCTCTTGGTCATTGTGATAAAAAATTATATTCAGGCCTGGTAGTCACGGCGGGAAAATTCTAAACAATCCAACATGGCGGCTACTGTCAAACGCGAGTGGCCTACTGTTCTTTGTCGTGACTGTCGTCTTTTTCATAACTCTTGCATGGGTCTTCAGAGGTTTGACAGCTCTGAAAGTAACGGCAACAGTCCGCTTTCATCGACCAGTACGAGTAAAAGAATTTGTTTTAAATTTTGTTTTGTTTGAATTTTGTATTGTTTTGAATTCCCGCCGTAACTACAAAGACCAACATTTCACGCGCATCACGCCTTGTGACGTCGTTATGCATAAGGTCTATTCTCATCCTCGTTTGACCTTTTCATCTGTGCTAAATACTAAAAAATATCATAATTTACTAATACTGTATTGCTGAATACAAGTCTTGCAATCTGTTTGGAATCATGCTATAAATACAGTACACAATTCATGTGCAGTCACCACTGTAAATTAGCGGTATTTTTGGTATTACCTAACAGGTTGAGAACATCGAAATTCAAAATATTTCGTTCAAAAAAACGAAATTCAGCTGGTGATAATCTTGAACGGTCTGTTAATCTGTGATAATTTCGCCATTCTGGTCTGTAATAATCTCGAAAAGTAGTGACATATAGGGAGCTAAAGCAAGATACGATGCCGAGGGGGATTAGAAACTGTGTTTGTATCAGTTTGTGGTAATCTTGAACAGATATGACAAAACATAAGCGCATATGACAAGCGCTATGATGCAAAATGGCGCCAATATTAGTTATACCAATTTTCGGGTGACGTCCGTGTTGAAATAAACGTCGCTTGCTTGAGCTCACTAATAAAAATACTGCGCATTAATATGGATACAACTGCCTGAAAAATACAAGCACAACTTGGATGTTTCGAGCAATGGACCAATCCCATATTAATCAAAATTTTGAACTCAACAAGTCCAGACAAAAATTTCATCACAGCTTGAAAGAGCATCACAAAATTAGTAATATTCCAAAGTTTCCAAATATTGCAAAATGTTGTAAAATGCGGATAATATAACCTTGCGAAGTTTGCAATTTTCAGTCATTTTAGATTACAAACGGGAAATGGTTACCACTTCCGTGCGTAATACAAAATGACTGAAAATTACAAACTTCGCAAGGCTATATTATCCGCATTTTACAACATTTCGCAACGAAACTTTGGAATATTACTAATTTTGTGATGCTCTTTCATGCTGTGATGGAATTTTGTCTAGACATGTTGAGATCAAAATTTTGGTTAATTGGGGATTGGTCCATTAAAGGCCTAATTCACTAATTTCCCGACGAAGCTAGGGTCTTCGCTCGAAACCTCGAACTTCTATTTGTATTTTCATGTAGTTTATCCTTATCAATCAACAGCTTTCTCAATACAGCTTGTCCCTTGTCCGCAATTTAAAATCACATTAGTTATTTCATCCTACTCCCGCGTTGGCAAATTATATTTTTTCCGAATGGATTCTCTTAATCTTTTACTGTTCCTTCTCTCTGCTGCCTCATTCAAGGCACTCTGGTCTTTATTTTTGTGTCTTTTACTTCCAAAACTAAAAGATCTTTTCACGTTTTTTGTACTGTCTGCTAATTCTTCACTATTTTTATTCCTCCTACTCTTGGCAGTATCCAAAGATTCTGTGCTTCCGTTTTCAATGTCATATTTATCACGGAGCCATTTATTTCTTTTCAAACTTTGAGCACGTCTGGCAATGCCACCATCTACCTTTAATTTTATTTCAGGGTCTGTCGTTTCATCTAGTCTGCCATTACTAAAAACGAGAATCAAAATAACGGATTGATTACACAGGGTTTTCATTTTAGGTCGGCAAACGCGAGGAAACCCACCAGATCTTTTAGTCGAGTCAAACTTAAATTCGCCAGAGCTTTCCAGTTTGCTGTTCATTTTCATGTATATTATATTAATAACTGTTACGGCCCTCGAAAAAAGTAAAAATTGAAATCTGACCTACAGTACAATTATGGACAAAAGTGTTAATAAAATCGATCGACATTTTAGGAAAATACAATCAAATAACTTCACACAGGTCCCCCCCCCCCTCTCCCCCACCCAATGTTGCCATAATTTTCGTCTCATTTTAAACGTAGTTCAACAACATTGTGTTGGAGGAAGGGGGGGGGGGTGTTTTAGACAAAATACAGGAATCAAACTACAACTTAAACTCTCGCAGAGGCAAATTAAAATTTTATTAACAAGTTATGTCCACCGATTGTAGGTCGGCACCTCTCGGCATTTTTTTAGATCGGATAATATAGAGTGTATCTGCGGCATTGTGATTTTGAAGAATCCAAATTTCGTGTTTCCCACCACCGTATTATTACTATTCCTACGGTGCTTTCCAGAGCCTAAAATAACGGTCGGACATTTTCCGACCAAATCACAGTTATTCCGATCAAATGCTAAATTGATCGGACGTTTTCTCCGGACAAAAAATAGCAATCACACTTCTTGAAAGACTGGGTTAACCATAAGCTGCATGAAATCATTCCGTCAGCTGTCTCATATGCATTTTTTTAAACTATCCCTGCCAGACGATTTACTCGTCAAGTGGACAGCGCTGGCACAATGGGTTAAAACTATACCTTAGATCGCTCTGTTCAGTTACTGGACAGTTGTCGAGTTGAGCACGAGCTTTCTTTTTTGCCATTCTTCGCCTTATTCTGTCGTTAGGTTCTTTACCGATATATTCATCATGGTAAAAGTAGCCTTCCGACCTATTGAATGATAAAATTATGATATTTAAATCATGGCCGTAAAACACTTAAACACGGCAATTTATGTAAAGATGTGGCCCTCTGTGTAGGCTATGGTGTTGCTGCTTATCATACCTTACATACAACAGACATGCATAACTTCCTCTGACATTACAATGAGCTATTTATAGTAGGAAATGTTGGGGCATTTAAATCTATTTTAACACCAACACTGGAAATTGTTCCCAAAATCCTTACTATAGAAATAGTATGGAACTTTGTTGAAAATAGTATAATCCAATTTTCATACATATTGCAATTTCCATATACTACGGATTTAGTGGTGCAATAACAAATTCCATAGTATAAATTTCACCTTTTTTTCAGTGCAATACGGTTCCCGTTACCCATTATATAATTATCCAATCATTCAAACATAAAAATATCACGGATCACTTGACTACGTTCCACAAAGTAGATTATACACTGTATACAAGCTTACTTGCAACTTAAAAAGTAGCAAATTATATCTGCTTTATATATAACGAAACCGCAACAACGATTCAACACTCATTCATTCTTTTTATCTGTGTTGGTGTTATGTACTCAGGTGAATATGATGTCTGTGAAAGTATTCCAAAGCATGTTTGGGCTACTGTAGTATTCCAAAGGTCGTAGGTTCGATTCCCACCGTGGCCAGGCATATTTTTCAAGCTTGCCTGGTGTGGAGTATACACTCAGAGTAACATCACAGACATCACTCATTCATTCATTCAATCATTCATGACAGTTTGATGACACAACGTTTCAACACTCCAGTTTAACTCACCAGGAGTGATTTGAAGACTAGACTGGAGTGTCAAGATGTTGCCATAACCTGACACAAACTTAACTCTCATTCTCCGCCCAAAGTAAAGTTTATATTTAGCATCCAATCAAAATGTCCCAAGGGGAAATGTCAATTTCACATAACAACATCTAATAAAACTTGAAACTGCTAAATATATCATGAACTATAGTATGGAATGGCTTTTTTACATGCAGTCAGACTAGAGGCATTTTTGTCAGCGCTCTTTTCCCTTCCATTCACTTGCAACTAATAATAAAACAATAATAATAATTTGATTATTTAAATATAGCAAAAAATGAAACTATAAGACCTTCTGGCGGGAATCAAACCATCCTCGTACCCAGGGTCTTTTTGGCACCGAGTATAAGAGAAAATAGCATGGGTACGAGGTTGGAATCAAACTTGTGGCCCTGCAATTCCGGTGCAGCGCTTTAACTAAGCTACAGAGTCCAGTTGTCAAGCTCTAAAGGCAAGTTCATTCACATATACTACGCGGTGACACCAATATAAAGTGTATGGGTAAATATCAGGTTCGATTCCAGCCAGACGGCAAAACGTAAGTTGCATTGCAACTGCTCCTGGTTAGGTCTAATAAATGTATAAAATTTACATTAATTTCCATCTACTGTAAAAACCCCTTCAACTATTAGTTCTATGGAGTTAGATGCCCAAAATTCTGATATTAGAACTCTAGCACTCTTTCAAGGGCAACCAGTAGCGTAGCCAGCTCGACGATTTAGTCCCGCTATGTAAATATTTTCGTGTTCATTGACTGTGAAAACAATCAATTTCTAAAGAAATGAATAATGATAATAATTTTGAATTTACATAGCGGGACTAAATCGTCGGGCTGGCTACGCCACTGAGGGCAACTGGTCGTTCCGTCCCCTTGCCGTTTCGTCCCCTTGCCGTTTCGTCCCCTTCACGTTTCGTCCCCACACTAGATACTGTTTTATCTATAACCTGTACTTCCTTAATACAATATATCTTACTTTTTGAGATTGTATCTCAGTCGATTGTATGCCAGGATAATACACACTTTTGTATTTAAATTCCCAATCTTTGAAATGTAACTTATATATTTGGCTTTTACTTCACAATATTAATATTGCTGTTGTCAGTGACTACTACTGTATAGTGACACTTGACTTTACTTTACTTTACTTTAATTGGAACTGAGTCTGAGGAAAACTGGACCATGCAACGACTGCCATGCATTAGTGAGCTTAAGATCGCAATGTTTTTGTCAACACGGACGTCAGTTCGTCGAGGGGGGCTGGATTAAAAACTGTGCGGTTCTGGTTATGGGTATGTGATTTAATGCAAGAGCACAACAGGCAGTGTTGGAAGGAATCGAGTCATTGACTTGGACTCGAATGACTATTTTCTGCGACTCGAGTCCAATACGAAACATTACTCGACTCAAGTCAGCAGCTGCAAATGACTCGACTCTGATTCATTGTGGATGTCTGCTGTAATTGACTCTAATCAAATTCATATAAAAAAGTATTATCATGACTGTATTTGTTAGGAAGAACAATGAGTCCTGTGAATAATACGAACTTCGAAACATTGTTAGAGAAATTTGTGTGGGCTGACCATTTCGAGGCTGACCATTCAATGTTAAATTCCCAATCATTGCTTATTATTTTTCTGTTTTCAGAAACAATGCTACTGCTATAGTTTTTTGTAAATATACAGTGGCCTCCAAATATACTGTCTTATTATTATTAATAAATAATTTCATTTCTGGTTATTGACCAATAATCGGTATCGGCCGATTTTTGTCTTATCGGTACACAATGGGAATTGGTAGAATTATCTATATTCCGGATTGTCTAAAATCGATTGTTGAGAAAAGACGCATTTTAAAAATTACATCCATTGCACAATGATACACGTTTTTATGCAATACGTGTTTTAATGCAATATAAATTAATGCAATATAAATTAATGCGTCAAGCGTGCCATTTATTAACGGTTTTAACGATCTTTGGTAGCAGTAACATGTTACGTTGGAAATTATCGTTAAAAAATCGACATGAATGACGTCATCTTTCCTAGGTCGATTGATATTATGACGTCATTATAAACTCGGTATCGGGCAGATTGTGGCATGAATAATCGGTAATTTCCGATTGCTGCACAAACGGTCAATCACTATTTCTGGTATTTATAGAGTGTCGACATTAAATTTTGCATTGCCTTAAAAAGCTTGATAAAGGACTGATATTCACTGACTCGAGTTCAGCTATTGACTTGACTCTACAGTGACTAGACTTGTCTCAAGTGGAGCAGCTGACTCGAATTGATTCAATTGAGTCAGAGAGTGAAATGACTCGACTCATGACTTGAAATTTGAGTGACTCGAATCACCAAAGGGAATGGATAAACGATATTATGCCAATTGAAATGGCAGTACATCTAGCAAGTTCAACAGACTTGGAATTTCTCTTACATGTAGTTATATTAGGTAAACAGTCAGAAGTATTATGTGCAAACAATGCCAAACATATGGATGCAGCTATTGCTGAAATTTGCAAGCTTATGTTCAGTGGCGTAACGGTGTATCAGGGGGCCCTTGGTTTCAAAATTTTCGAAAGCCTCCCTAGTAGAAGTGCCAAAGGCACGAGTCGAGCGCCGTATGTACTGTATATGCATGAGTTTTCTAGGGGGTCCAGGGCATGCTCATCCGGAAAATTTTTGAATCTAGACTCTCTGAAATGCCATTTCCTGGACTTTGGGAGAGAGATTTTACAGAATTCTGATGGTCAGGAAACGACATTGTAACATATCAGTGGCCCTTGCCAATGTTTTTGCTCTATTGCCTAAGTCTGGGGGCCCCCATTTGGCTCATTGGGGCTGGGGGGCCTCAGGTTCTCCCGGTCTGAGCCCATAGTAGTTACGCCACTGGCTATGTTTCCTTTTGTTATTTGAGTACAATTTTGTCAATTTAGTTAACTAGTTACTAGGTAATAATTGATTAAGCTGCTAACTACTTCACTACCTTTATTTTATTATTACTTAATACTCTTCTTGTAAATAACTACTCTTCAGAAACTGGAGGCAATAAATATTTAAATTCAGCCTGTGGTTACAGCACTGATTAATATTGCCTATACCCTTAAAAGTGTATTCAAAAGCAATAAGCAATTAAAAAAAATAAATAAAAAAGGAGAGAAAAAAAACAGGGTCCGAATTAACGCTTCGCAAATCGCAAAATGCGAAGCGATTTTGAGTATTGCGTAAAATTGCGAAGCAATTTTTCTAGAAGTTGCGAAGCTTCTTTAGTTAATGCTTGATAATGTTGATATGCGTGCGCACACGCACGGAAAAATTATTTTAAATCCATTTAAAACTAAAAGTTTTTTATGAAATAATTATAGTGTAAATGAATAAAAGGCCAGCATTTGGTTTTGTGAATTATTTAAAGCCTATTTGTTGAGGTAGTTAGTGATAGTGCTTAAATAAAATTTAGAAATATTTAAACTTTTCCGTACGTATACGTGCGAAAAACGCAGCCTTTATAGGGCCAAACAACGAAAGCGTAACGTTTTGGCATTCAGCACAAGGTAACATTGCTTTGATAATTACTTGGCACGGATTGCCTAAATGTCTATACAAATGCGAGAGCATGCACATTTTAGAATTTTCAATTTCAATACCGAAGCGTTTGATTTTTAGCAGAATGTAGGGCTTTATCCAGCGTGAAATGATTGCAATCATGTTCTAAACGACTTGGCAAAATCATTGCATGCGCCGCATTCCTTTTTGTGATGCTCAAAAAAATTTCGGGGGGGGGGGCAAAATGTGTATTTAAACGTGAAATTTTTCCAAAAAAAATGCGAAGCTGTTTTTTAGCGATAATTCGGACCCTGAAAAACTATGCAAACTTTTAATGACTGGCATTATTCAAAGCGTTAGAAATGTGTTGTCTTTGAACTATTTAGATGCAGGTTTATTAATGTAAAGTACATGACCAGTTGCCATGGCTATAGCTTTGCAACTGATTGAGACTGTGTATAACTGGAGCATGCAATGAAAGGACTTTGGGCAGGGACATAGTGAAGACTTTGTTGATGGGGGTGGGGGGACTGTAGAAGTCAAATTACCTGATTTTTTAACCCATTAAGCTGCACTACCTAAAAATATGAGCAGACTGAGCCCCAGTGATCTCCTCTTGATGAGAAAAATTGTCTGGCGCTATAATGCAAGACAATTTTTCCTCATCAAGGGGAGATGACACGCAGTCTGCTCATATTTCTAGGTAACCAACTCAGTTTTATTATGCCCCAATGCTCCCTATGCTATTATTTCACTCTCTAACACCAAATGATTTACTCGATCATTTATTCATCTAAGAGAAAGTGTTGTTACCTACAAGCAGTGTTTGAAAATTAGAATAATTTTTTCAAGTAGCAGCTGTTTCTTTCAAAAGAATATATTAGCAAATGGAGTAAGGCGCTAAATCTACTTGAGGGTTCAGGGTCAGACAGACCAGAATGCACCTAAAATTTTGCTTTCTTAGCTTCCATTCACTTTTAACTTCCATGTTTGCCTGTCAATAATCTTAAAATTTAGGGGTGCACCGGAACTCGGTTCCGGCCGGTTAGTTCCGGCCGGAACCCCGACTTTTTAGAGTTCCGGTTCCGGCCGGAACTAGTAAAAAAAGCATGGCCGGAACCGGAACTTTGTTGTTTTCAGAGAGATAGAATATCAAATGTTTTTGTGTCTAACAAAAGGTCACAGTAGGAAGAAATTTGGACTACGCAAGGGAAATGTACATTACTAACACTTCATTATGACGTTTAACGCTTGTCAATCTTTTTATTCTAACATTTGCGAGCTCTCTCCTTTATGACTTGAAGTGTCTGCCTGTCTGGCAGCGGACAAAGTAACATATGACTATATATGGCTTAATAAATTAGTTCTTGTTCCGGCCGGAACTTTTTTCCAGTTCCGGTCGGATCCGATCTTTAAAGTTACGGTACATGTACCTCTCATGAATGAATCCCACATTATTGACATGTTAACTCATTAAGTTGATCAACTTTATCATTTTACTCTGTTTAACCCATTGAGTCGCATTGCACCCTACTTTAGTATTTTACTCTGTCTAACGCCAAACGATTTTACTCGTCAAGGGGAGAGCACTAGCGCTTAATGGGTTAATGTCAGACAAATTTTCTTAAATCAAGGGGAGACCACTAGCACTCAATGCCCAGGTTAAGGTCACAATATGACCAAGAATGTAGATGCCTCATGCTGCAGCGAAATGGGATTCATGTAAATGCAGTTCCACTGGGGATCCGGGTTGACGAAGATCTTTCTAATATCTTGCTGTGATCATGCCATGATCTTGCCAAGATTGTCTAAATCATGCAAGATATTGGCAAGATCCTGCAGGAAATTGCCACAATTTTACAATTAAGTCATCTTGTCATGATCATGTCATGATCTTGCCAAGATCTTGTCTAAATCCTGCAAGATCTTGCCATGATCTCACAAGTCATGATCTTGTCATGATATTGGATTGTTAGAGCCTTGAACCCCTGATAGAGCAGTTCTGAGCTCTTGACAAAAGCCAGATAGCCACATGCCGTGCCATCTTGTGCAAACAATAAAAGGGCACTTGTCTTGTTTATGCTTCCA